TCCATCAAATCAATCAGCTCTCTCCATCCCCCCCTGTTCGCCCCCTCCCTCCTAGTGGCGCGTCCACCGGAGCTAGCGGTGCAGTAGTCCAAGAACGAAGTTGAGAGTTCTAGGCCGTCGTCTAGAAGTCCATTGGCGCTTCCACGTCTGGCAAGATCGAGCAGTCGAACTAGGCTTTTTCACAAATCTGGAAAAGGAGAGGGGAAAAAAAGGAAAGAAAAAAAAAAAGTGGCAAAGTAAAGCGGCCGTCAGCATCATGGTCATGGGCGGATGCGGTCATTTTAGATGCGCGATCCTATTCCGCCGAATTCGGAGCAGCGGGTAAAGTCTAGAAATATCTTGGTGAATTTCTCTCAAGTTGTAGCCGTTTTAGGCACCATCAAGAATCATGTACTCCGTAATATCAACTACATATAGATGGCTTGACGGCGACGAAGCCCCCAACTCATCCGATGCCGGGGTTGGGTTTGTTGCGCAAGTCATCAACCACGCAAGCTGCCAGCAAGTTGCCATCCGCCGTCGAACCCTTTCTGGTACTACTATGCAGCAGCAACTCGGCGACTCGCTAGGATCACCTGCAAAAGACATTCTACCTATGTACATAGGAAAGCTTGTTTTACGCGCGGAGCGAAATCGGGGGACTTTGCAGTTTTTGGCCGCCAAGCCAGTTTGTTTCCCCCCCCGGTCATTGCCGGGAGTTTTCGAGGAGCGGCCGGCGCCTCTTTTCCAAAAAGCTTATTATTTAGGAAGCAAAAAGAAAAGAAAAAAGAGCGCCAGACAACCGCCCACCACGTGTTGATGGGAAGCCAGCCCACTGCCCGCTGTGGCTTGGTCTTGATAAGTTAGCTACGGAAGAAGGAATTTTTGGTAACAAGACTTGGGGGCGATTCCCGTCCGCTGGTGGTACACGGCAGTTGCTGGATATGCCGCTAACTAGTTCTGTCCCCCCCCAAAAGCATAATCTCTTCGTCCTGGGCTTCAGCTGCGCGTCACTTGGCATGGTTATGACATGCATCGACCTGAGACAATTGCGGCAAGTTTCCCAGAAACCCCCGGAGGTAAGCCAACTGCGACGAGATGGGGTGAGAAGAAGAAGAAGGTATATACAAGTTGCGACTGAAAGGAAAGGGGACTGTTATCAGCCATCTTGCTCTCCCCCGCCACGCTTATTCGCGTCCAGGCGATTGGTGAGATCCGGCGCTCTGTGGTGGAGGGGGCGTGTTCCATTGGGACCTGAGTTGCTGTTTCTCGGAGCTGGCTTCTCTTTTGGTCATGGTTTCCTTTGGTTTGCTGGTTCGTGTGTAACTACTGATAGTCCTCACTGGGTAGCTTCATCACCCCCCATCGGAAGATGCCATGTCTCGGGCCGGTTTTTCACCAGTTTTAGCAACTCTCAAGACATGTCCTTTCTGCACGCCGCGAGTCAAATCCCGCCAGTCCAAGGTCTCCTACTGCGCGTGCTAACTGCAGCCCAGACCCTGTTAGCGGCCTGCCCCAGGGGTTCTACCACCTCCGTCGCAAAAGAGAGGAAAATGGTTTCTTCTGGGCAGAGGAAGAGCAGTAATAAAAGGCCAGGAGGAAGCAACAAAGCGTCACCGCCAAGAAAGACGCATAACATGATCGACTTCTGTCTGAATCGGTCGAGATACATGTGCTCAACTCCCGCCCTCATCGCAGCGCCCTTTACCAGCCGGCCGGGTTGTGCGCTAGGCTAGTTTGACTTGTTTGATAGTTTTTTGACGCGATGGAGTAATAAGGAAAGCACTGGCCACTTGTTTCTCGATGCGCGCATTTATTTTGGACTCGAAAGCTGCATGAAAAGGTCGTCACCTGGCCAAGACGGATACTTCCGCAGGCCTCGGATGTCCCCCGACGTTTTGATGCTCTTTTTTTTTTTTCAATTAGGCTGCCGAGAACCTGGTCAGTGGTTAACTAGCAAATTATAAGGTGTCCTTGTAAGCGGGAATCGTTGGAAGGCGACGAGTAAGCATCACAGCCGGGTATTTACACGGGTCTCGACCTCGACCTCGACCAATGCAACCCTGTCTCGAGAAAATTCTCGCATTAGGTTACTGGTTAGATGTTTTAGTCGAGCATCTTTCCCCGCCACGCCGCTCTGAGTTATCTATCATTGCCCTCGTTACCGCCTCGGCACTTGTCCGTCAAGGATCGCCATCGAGCCGGTCTGGTCGACATCTACACCCTCAGTGGTCCATCTCTATCAGATTGTGGCTCGGTCCCTCATAGTTACTTCTGATCAAGGCTTGCCTCTGCGCCGGCGTCCCCGCGTCCCACGTCCACGTCCACCTCGATGGGTGGGTGCAAGACATGTCCTATCATGGCCGACAGCCCTGCCTCTGCTCAGCTCTAAAACGCCGCCCCTTAGATGGGGCTTCCCGCAATCTTGTTCCAGCTCTTTTTTTTTTCTTGCCTTTTCCTTTTCCCACTTGCTGGTGAGACAGGCTTCTTTTTATTTTTATTCTATATTTTTTGTGACAAATCATTTTCTCCATCGCGGAATCCGCCCGTCAACCCAGCTTCAGCTTCGACCCCCGATTGGCGAATCGACAGACCCAGGTAGAATGAGGCGCCCTAAATTGCCCGACGTCTGTGGAGAGCATGGGGTACGCCTCATTCAAATTTCATGAGTGTAATTATGTAGCTACAGGACCAGCTCAGCCAAGTGTCCAGATCACAAGTGCATCGTTGCGCCATCCACCACCGCCAGAGTATCATCGTTCAATCGGAAGCGACGAGGCCCCCCATGACGCCATGTGCGCAAGTTTCCAACCGCCTGTTGATCAAGCTCATAATAAGCTACAGAGAGTCATGTATCTCGCGTACGAGGCCTCGACTCGGCTTAGCTCTGAAAGACGGACGGACAACCACATCCTCGGGTTCAAGCAAATCAGTGTCCACTGCGGCGTATTCCTGTCCTTTTCTTTTTTCTACAGTGGGCTGGCTGGCTGGCCCCAGGACACATGGCCGCCACTCGAACTTGTCTTGACCGAGTTGGTGATGCGCGCCCGTGGCTTGCAGGAAAACACGTATCCGTACACACAGCTGCCCAATTACGAGGGCCAGCTTCGCTTGTTCAGCTCGAACCAAGGCGGGCGCCGCAGCTAGCTCAACCCATTCCCTCGGTGACATGGCTGCCAAACTAGTTGGCATCTGTAATTCCGGGGGGGGGGACTGGGTAGGTTGCCAGAGCGGTCGGCCATCTGCCGTTCCTTTTTGCCAACATGTACTTGCCCATTTTGGCTACATTTTCCTTTTTTTTTTTTTTGCTTCAACACATGATTTCTTTTGCCCGCCTCATTGTGGCTGCATCTGTTGATACGGGGCGCTCATCTCAAGCCATGGAGTGCGACGCCTCGTCTGTCAGTGCTCGTGTCATGGCCACATCGGACAGCCCTGCGTCGTTGACTCTCCGACGTGACCCTCGCCTCGACAGATGGCGGGCCAATGCTACGCGAGGTCAATTTGTGCACCCGTCACAGTTCTCCTTTTACCGACAAGGAAAGGCGCCCATCGCCTCCCCGACACGGTTCGGGCTCAGGTTGTCGCACAGCCTCGCGATACACGACCGACCGACGCGCATCCGCCCCCTCAGCAACGTAGAAAAGAGGCGAAAAGGGAAAGCTGTGCAACGAGGGCTTCGGGCGACCTTCATCTTTGTGCTACTCTCGCGCCCGTGTGTGTTGGTGCGACACGGGCGATTGCGTCTTGAACTATTGCCATGGCCGAAATGACACTCTTCTTCATCCCCATCTGCACTCCAACAACTGCAAGAGTTCGTCTCTTGTGCGGGCGCAAGAGAGTGCGACGCCATCAAACCGAATGAGGCTCATTGCGATTTCGTCATGTAGGTTAGCCCCCAACCCCTAACTAACCCAAGGGAGACTTCGTACAGTCGTGGCGTTGCATCCCTGTCGCCTTTGCCTGCGACGCAATCCCAGACCTGCTGAACAGCCCCGATTGAGGATTGAGGGCTGTCGCCATTTTGACCCCGCCCATTTCCCATCTGCTTGTCTCTCTTTTTTCGTGCCTGTCTCGCGTAACTATGTACCTGGTCATCGTCATCCGGGGCTAACAAGATGCCGACATGCTTTGCTGCCATTTTGGCCGATGCAAGGGATGACTGATAATGAAACTCGGCAACGCGCTGCGCTTACCCCTTTCCAGCGTACTAAAACTCGCGCCATGTCTAGTTGGTACGCGGTGAATGAAGCTCTACCCCGGTGAGCTGTCTCAGAGAACAATCGCGTTGCTGCGCGCTCCGGCTACCTGCACCGCGTCTATCGCGCCGCCGCGCTCGCTAGTAGCAAGGGCAGCGAGAGAGCAACTCTAAATGCCCTGGGATCCACGAAACGAAATGACATGGACTCCTTGTGACCGAGTTGCTGGTCGCCCTTGTTATCCGCTTCGGCACCGTCATTGTCTTGGATTGCCGCCGAGGAAGAAAGGGCGGCCAACGAGAAACTACGCCGTAGATGTAGTCCTCTGTGGGACATCTTATGATCCTGTGCCAGTGGTGCCATTTTTGGAGACAATCGTCTGTGCAAATCATTTACCCAAGCAACGCCCGATGACCGTCAGTTATGGGCCGACACCCTCCTCCCATGGCGGACGTAACGGTATCCTCCTCCATCTATAATCCCAAGGTCAACATCGTAGGTCTATGTTCCACGTCAATACATCCAGTATATCATTGCATCAAATCATTGAGAATCGTCGAGTCTGTATCGGTACATAGTATCCTAGCCACCGCTTGGTTGGAGCCGCCAAAGTTCGAGTCTGCGTAGAGCCTCCTAATACCCTTTTAGCGATAGGCGAAGACAGTTACGACAGAAATGTTGGCCGTAGATGCTTCAATAGCCTCACCACCTCGAATCGCATAGTATTCGGCATGGCTGCCCCACTACTTCAGCCCTCTTTCAGCCGCTCCTATCAAGGCGACAACAACGACACTCTGTACTTGTCACGGACATCTGGCCAACATGGATCGGCTCAAAGCATGCGAGCCGTGTCTCCTACTGAGCGCCTCTCTTCTGCTCTGGGAAGTGGCCGTGGCGCGAGGGACGACAAGCCAGTATCAGGGAAGAGTCGACTTCTTCCTCGGCACCTCGGCCGACCTTGAAGCGCGTTCCTCCTCCGGCTGCAAGAGTTGCGCCTCTGTCATGGGATGCTCGAGCCACCCCGATATCGAGGAGACGCATGGCAACGTGTATGGTGTGAGCGCACACTTCCGCTTGAAGCAGCCGCTGCTCACTATTGCCTGGGGAAACCTGGATGCGAACACTAAGAATCCTGCGCAGCGGCGAGCCCAGCTGATTAACTTGCGCCTGGATATACTGCTGTCGACGAATCCGGTGCTCGCCAAGTCCACTACGGGCCGGGGCCGACTGTACGATGTTGACGGGTACAATGTCAGCTTGATGCGGCGCTGGATGGAACGGTGCGACAAGCACCACGAATCAACCTGTTCGGCCAAATACAAAGACTTTGTCCTGCTACAGGCGAGGCTCAGTCTAATTGACGTCGAGGATCTGTGCATCGTCACGCCAGAGGAGCCCGTTCGCTACGCAACGCTGAGCTACGTCTGGGGCGTCGCCGCGTTGCCCGTGGCGAAAAAGGCAAACATGACCTTTCTGCGACTGCCCGGTGCCTTCCGGCGAGGTGGCTACCTGGAGCTCCCGGCCACCATACACGACGCGGTGCGTCTCTGCGCCAATATCGGTATCCGGTATCTCTGGGTCGACAGCGTGTGCATTGTGCAGGACGACACAGAGTCCAAGATGGAGCAGATCAAGGCCATGAGCTCGGTGTATGCCAATGCCCATGTGACGCTTGTTGCATTGTCATCAGAGGACGCCAATGCGGGGATCCCACGCATCTCACAGGCCAAATCAGGTTCTGACGTGTCGCCATTCGTCGACTTACCTTGTCAGACACTGATCAAGGCATCCCAAGGGTCACATGGACTGCCACCCGTGATTCATGCTGGAAGTATGTGGTCGAAAAGAGCCTGGACGCTGCAGGAAACGGTCTTGTCCAGGAGGCTTATTTGCCTAGGCCCTGTTGCTTCGTGGGCGTGTTCTGGCGCGCACTGGTCGGAAGACTTGGAAGTACTCTCCGAGACGGACGGCCTGCCTGCACCGACGAAAGAAATAGACAAACTGTCGATTCCGGCGTGGCCGGACATGGCTCAGTACGCAAGTCTCGCGACTGCATACGCGGCGCGTCGGTTGACAATGCCCACAGACACCCTCAACGCGTTTGAGGGAATCGCGGCACCCGTGAGACAGCTTTTCCAGAGCGAATTTCTATTCGGGGTTTCCGAGTTTGAGTTTGACCTGGGCCTTCTGTGGCAGCACAGACGGAGGGGAGCGAAGCCACGCTCCGGTCTGGACTGGGCGGGCAAAGGTCACAATTTCCCCAGTTGGTCTTGGATATCCCATCATGGGCTGCACTTGCAAACCTTTTGGCGGCCAGACTCTTCGTGCCCGCGACCGGAGCTGAGGATATCCCCACTTGTCCAGTGGAAGAAGCAGAACAAGGCCACAGAGGACTGGGAAGACGTGGACAACTCGTACCATGCAGTCCGCAAGCACTTTGAGAAGCCGGATGCCTCTACGCCGGACAACTGGACCAAGCACACAGACGGCCTCGAGTCGCCATACTACCAATCTGCGCAGTTTAGTCACATCCAGCCCTCGCCCAAGTTTAGCTACCCTATCCCGACCCGGCCAAGCCTTGCAAGCCAGCCCGCGGCTTCCTACTACCCGCACCTGCTCTTCCAAGGCAGCCTGGCGCGCGTGCGTTTCCAGTTTCGCGGATCCGCAGAGGAGCGCGCGGCCACAAACGAAAAGCTGCGAGAGGAAGCGCTGGTTCCTGAAATGGAGATTGTCAGTGGCACAGATGAGGCTTGGATCGGGCGCGTACGCCTGAATCTGCAACCGGGTAGTGCGCTGCCGCGAGACGACGAGGAGCAGGAGGTCATTGCCATTTCAGAGGCCACGATGACGACCAAGGCTGCCAAGGAGCACTCGCTGACAACGGAGGCGGCCGATCGGGAAGAGGTTGGACAGGGCGGCGATGGCCGGTATCGGTTTGTGAATGTGCTGTGGATTGGGCCGACGGAAGACGGCAAAGTGTATCGCAAGGCGCTGGGGAGGATATGGTGGAAGGCCTGGGAGAAGATGACGGTTGAGCAGGTACGACTGTTGCTGACATAGACGGCGGCCGACCTCGTGGCGGAATCGCTCCGGCCAGACGAGTTCGGCCGTTAAGGCCAAGTTTCGCCGCGCAGACACGACGGAGCCGGATGTGGGCGATAACAAATTCATGCGCTTGGAGGACGAGGGCCTGACGGATCAGGAGCTCGATGTGCGCTGCGAGAGGTACTATTAGTGGCTGGAGATACAGACAGAGGAGCTGAAAGAGGCCCTGCAGGAACAGCTGGAGCAGGAGCTCGCGGCGGCATCGGAGCAGAATTTGCTGGCTATCAAGGAGGTGCGCGCCAGGACGGAGATGGAGGTGGTAGAGGATGCCAAGGAGGATATGGAGAGGCTAAATATGATTGAAAAGCTGGAGAGGCTCGAGAAGAGGCCATGCATTGCTTCCGAGAACGAGGAAAAGGAGATGATGGACGAGGACTGAATGAAGAAGCTAATAAATCCTGAAAATATCGACTCTACAGAATAAAAGCACAGCGTAATGGGTTTTCATACTTCTTTGCATTTCTTGATTTATTCGCCGCATTTTTTTCCTATCCGTTGTGAGTCAGAAGGGCGTACGGTAGCTGTTTAACCATTCTGGCTACTTCCTTTGTCAGCCGGCTGGCGAAGAAGTCGACGTCAGATTCTGTCGTGTCCTCAGCGATCGCTTTTCCACCCTCCAACTACACCTCTGCCAGGAAAAACGGCAACCCATCCAAATCGCTCCTACACCCGCAACAATGACCGAACGAGCCATCGTCCCCGCCACGGCCACCGTGCCCTTTGCCTTTCGCTTCATCCTCACCGTCCTCGAGCCCCTGGCGGCCCTCCACGGCGCCTGGATGTGCCTGTACAACCCAGGGCGCTACCTGGCCGCCATGACCCGCGACGCCTTCCCCTTGTCCCCGTCCGAGACGTACATCTACACGACGGTGGGGGGGAGCTGGATCTATTTTGCGTTTCTCGAGGCCGTCGTGATGCGTCTGTTTGACGACGTGCGTCTGTGGCGGTACCTGTGCGCGGGCATTCTGATGAACGACGCGGTGTACTGCCACGCGACTGCGCAGGCGGTTGGGGGATGGGAGGTGTGGCTTGATGTGGGAAAGTGGACGAGGGATGATTATGTCGTGTTTTGGTCGACCTGGCCGTTGATCGTTGTCAGGGTGTTGGTGGTGTTGGGTATTGGCTTGAAGAAACTACCCGACAAGAAGAAGCACGAATGAGATGGCCACGGTCAGTATAGGGGGAAATGGGTATATTTACGTTTAAATCTATAGTTGTCCAAGTTCTGCGGAGCCGTCTTCTAATCGAATACCGATACCTATGTTCTAGTTTGACTCGTGTACGGCTCCCTGCCTCGCGGCCTGCTTTTCTTGCTCCTTCGCCTGCTACTTCTCCATCCTCTTATATCTCGCCTCGCGCCACTTCGGACCCCATATTCTGACGCACAGGATCGACGGACTGGCGACCAGCAGCAGCAGCCCCAGAAACAAGTACGTGTAGCCGTAGCCCCACGCGTCAATGATGAGCTGAACCACGGCCGACGCGATGGCGCTGACGGCCGCCCTCGTCAGGTTAAACGTCGACGAGACCCGTCCCGCATTCGCCGGGTACAAGTCCACCAAGACGGTCGACAGCGCCGACATGGGGCCGGCGACGCCGATGCCCTGGAAGAAGAGCACCACGAGCGGCGCGGCGAGGTTGGCGCCCGAGTCCACGACCCAGCCCCAGCAGGCCGTCGTGGCGATGGCGAGCACCACCCATGGCCACACGGGATCGATGCGTGCGCGCTCAATCGGAAACCGGCGCAGCTCGTCGTTGCGCTTCCGATCCGGCGTCATGCCCACGGAGCGGGCCACACGCGCGTAGTTCCAGTTGAGGACCCCGCCCATGACCAGGGCACCGACGATGTTGCCAACGGCATAGGGAATGTAGCACAGGCCGACTTGTAGGTCGTTAAAGCGGTACTGTCGTCGGATGACGTCTTGCAGCGGGACGAGTACGGCGTAGCTGCTCATGACGAGAAGCGAGTTGAAGAGCAGGAGCAGCCCGACGTCCTTTTCAAACGCGATCCGCACGGCGGCCCAGATGTTGGGCAGGGGGATCCGGTTGGGCCGAGGCTTGGGGGAGGGAAGCGGCGCCGCGTCCGGATGCGCTTCGAGGTCGCGGCGCTTGCGGCGCCAGTGCAGGGTAGAAATGATGGACTTGTTGAGCGTGGGCGGTGGAATGGAGCCGTTTCCGACGACGTTTCTTGCAGTCTACCTCGATTGTTAGTTGATTTCGGTTCTGGCGAGACTCCCAGTGTTGTAGTAAAAATAGGACAAAAGGTAGCTTACCTCGGGCACAAATGGTACGTATATGACGACAAAGACACCAGCCGCCACGACCAAGAACCAAAACGTCGAGCGCCAACCCCAGTACTGCGTCAAGATGCCACCCAAAACGGGCGCCAGCGCCGGCGCGAACATGATTGTGGCCTGGACGGCGGTGATGTAGCCGCCGCGTTCCGCGGGCGTCGTCAGGTCGGCGACGACGGCGTTGCCAATGGCCACGGTGGCGCTGCTGCCGGTGCTCTGCAGCGCGCGCAGGAACAGCAGCGCGCCAAACGAGCGCTGCACGGCCAGGGCGACGTTGGCGGCCAGGTAGATGGCAAAGGCGGCGGCGTAGACGGGCCGGCGGCCGACCTGGTCGCTGAGATCGCCAAAGAAGAGCGGCGACAGCGCCTGCATCACCTGGTACAGCGTGACGGTCAGGTTGACGTCGCCGAGCGACCGCTGGTAGGCGTCGGCGATGGGCGTCAGCGCCGGTAGGTACAGGAACGAGGAAAAGGGCGAGAAAAAGGTCGCGAAGACGGTCATGACAATCACAAAGACCTTGGTGCGCTGCGAGAAGACGGAGTGCGCCGCCGCCGCCGCTGGGGTCGCGCCCGGATCGTCTTGTTGACGGCCATTGTCGTGGCTGGTGGTGCTTGGAGATGCTGGAGGAACGGCTGGTGCTGAAGCAGCCGTGGAGGAATTTTCTGTGGCCTGGCTATCCATTGTCGAATGTGGAGGCGACTGGCAGCACCAGATTGAAAACAAGACGAGCCAGTCCCTCGTTTTATACTCATGGCCGATATGGGAGCACGAATTCTCGTCGTCTTCCGAGAGAGGTCGTCATCCGCAGAGTAGCCCGGGACCGGAGCTTATTAGGACGTAATTATGCCACCTCAATCAGCCCTTGACCGTTTGAAAAGGAGACAAAATGGCCAGCCTACAGCCACAAGTCCGTGTATATTTCCGTCGTCGCCGCACTGAATTGGGTTCCGGCGTTTAGTTTGGTTTAGTGTTGGCCGATTAGCTTGCCGACTCGGCGCCGACGTCTCTTTGCGATGACAAGAACATGGGCTACACAGCGACAGTTCGGCATCGCTTAAAAAAACGTACAAAATGGAACAGAGAGGTGGAATGTGTCAGCGATGGTTTTAAACAATTTGTTAAAGGGCGCATAGGCAGGTATGGGCGTGCTCTTCGGAGAAGCTACCCGGGACACGATGAAACCAAAAAGGAAAACGGGATTGTAGAAACTACAAGGGAATGTACTGCGAAAATATTAACCTATCCTAGGTAGGGGAACAATAATTCGTGTCGTCATAGAGCCCATCGGCAGACCACCCTGCGTATATTTTCCTTTGCTCCTAGATTGATCAAGCCTTGAGGGCACCGTTGCGAGCAACTCTTGTTATTGCAAGTGGTTGTCCCGCGTGAGGACCTCGGCGCCTCTTACTCGAGAGCTCAGGCTTGATATTCCAGATGCAAACAGAATGTCACGCACGTACATCAAGTTTAAATCTTCAACAGGGATGCAGTAACTGTTTATTTACATCTATTCTATGGCATTGAGTAACGCGACCATTGAGTTTCGATGAGATGATGTAGTTGATATATACCATCCACAGTACCGCTGTCTGCCTGAGATGGTCTTCGAAGCTCTAGAGAATGTGATCTCAGAGACGATCCTCTATCCTCAACCCCTCTAGAGGATCTTGCCACAGTTGTTCAGGCCGATATTGATCAGTCCAGTCTAAAGGAACCCATTAGTATTTCGCAGCACGCAGTTCGCAATTCAGAGCATCAACTCACTTGGGTAGCATCGCAGCAGTAGACCGACTGGCCAGAGCTGCAGGAACCAGAAAGGATTCCGCAAAGAAGACTGCTAACAACCGGAAGGGTAGAGCTGCAACAGCTCACCTGTCCATTGTTGGTGCCACCGTTGATGCTGCAAGCACCGCCGCCAGTGTTACCGCCCGTAGGAGCAGCAACCACGGCAGCCGCCATGGCAATGGTAGCAAGGGAGAATTGCATGTTGACAGTGGATTTGAGGTAGGGGATATATGGACGAATCGATGGCTCAAAAGACGAGAGAGTAGTAGAAGATGTTGTGAGTTTGGGTTTTCATGAACATGGAAGCGAAGGACTATACGGGCTTATATACTGCTTGAAGAACCCCAACAGGTTCATACACCAGCGGCAGTACTTCGTAACTCGAGAGTAAAAATGCCGAGCTGAGACTGGGAAATGATTGACCATCATCATATTGGCTTGCTTCATGCAGGCCATTGCAGTCGAGACTCTTGATGGCGTATTGCCAGCAGGGCGGCTCGCGGAGCTTGGCCTGTCTAGCTGAGCGCAAACCCCCGGAGCTGACTGAACGGAAAGGTGTCAGAGGCTGGTATGTATTCCCAACCCGTCTCGATGCGGCTGGCAAATCAAGAATCGACTCCTGGGGGGGCCAATGTTGTCTTGCCCTGTGTTGTTCCATATGCACTGGCGCCCAGGGCGCAGCTCGTACCAGGCACCCAGACTAGACTTGGGGGATGCAGCGCAGACTCGATCAAGTCAGCCGCAGTAATCAGCCACAATGCGTTGAAAATTGTGACTGCATGCACAGCTTCAGCGACAAGGTGCATCGTGGCGCTTCGAAACCACGCCACTCTGGACTTGAGGCGGGCGGCCCGACCCGGCGCCATCTGTGTGTCTCGGAGCGACGGGGGCCTGACAGCTTCGGGCGTGCTCAGCGCGCACACGGACGAGATTCGATTGCTATCCTAACTATATATCCGCCGCCCGCGGCGATGATGGATCGATCTGTGGGGTTTGGTCTATATCCACAGAGTTTCTCAATCCATGTTTGGTGTCCCGCGGTTTCGCATCGGCTTGCCTCGCATGGTGGGGTTTCTGTCGTTGTAACCCGAGCAAAAGCGGCCGGCGGGTCGTCGGCGGCATATGGGAATATGTGTTGATTCGTGTTGTGGACGGATTGGAGAAGATGGAAGCGCTCCGACTGCAGGACAGGGGTCGCTTTCGGACGGATCGTCGTCGTGCAGAAGACCTCTGTTGTCCGCATCACTCTGCCGGCTGCTGGGAATCAGCCGCAGGTCTGGACCAGTACGGATGGGACAAGTATGTAATTGGATGCAGAGATGAAGCGGTTGACCCTGTTGCACGCGGACCCTGGATTGGGAGGGAGGCTGGGAGGCTTGCTCGTTGTTTTTGGGCATCCATGCTGGCCAGATATACCAGGGTCAATGAAGCGCTTCGATTCATCGCCCCCGTGGGTGGGAGGATTTCCCCGAGGACCCGCCGCCATCTCTGCTATATCGCATCATTATGGCGGGAAGCCGGTTTTGTAACGTTTGTAGCTGACTTGAAATGACAGCTCGATTACGGTGATATGACGCGGACCGCTCTGAAGTGAGGGGGAGTTCTCCGAGACGTGATTCCAAGTGTTCGAGCCCCCCAGCAGTGTGACTGTGATATGAGTGTACAGCCCACCGATGTGACGAGGCGTCCAGCCATGGGGACAATGAGGCTCTCGTGACTGAGGTACTAGACTCTTGACTTGTTGTCTCTGGCAGTGGGCGGTGAACTAAATTACGATAGCTAATCTGTACGAATTAGTCGAAAATGATGAAAGTAATAGTCCTCTTGTGCTTCGGCAAGTATATTCGCCCGGGCCTGGGCTTAGTCGATGAAGCGGCGGTGGCGGTGGGGGCGGGGGCCTAGATCTCGGCCGTTGCCATTGAATCTTGCCTCGTGATATGTGGCGCCAGTAAATATGGTTCGAGAGCGGCTTCAGTGATACGTTAGCCACCTATTATCGAGAGATGTGGTGGAGTGTACTGTGCGGGTACGTACTATCATGAGAATTGGAGAGTCTTGTTCGGTCGTGGAAGTTGGCTCCAAAGCCGGTTTCTGTACTGAGTCGGTCTGGACCATGCTTGAAAGAGGAGATTGAGCTTCGGCATTCCATATGTCTTGCTGCTTCGCCGGCAGTGGCGAGTTCGTGTCTCATGCAGAAAAAAACAAGCTATTGTCACTATATTGCAATAATATGACAAAGAGAAAGATAGTGCCGATCGCTGGAATGTGTGGCCGTTTGAAGTGACGAGCTGAATGCCACTATTCAATACAGATGAACCGGAGAAAAGTGCCAGCACTCTGAAAGTGTTTATTTTCCTTTTTCGCGGATTTGTGCACGATTCTTGTAGCGTTTACAAAGAATTTTGATAGACCATAATAGACCTTTGACTACGGAGTAGCCGAATACTCTTTAGCTTGCAAGTAATGCAATTAGTTATTATGGCGCTATTACGAATCACCACGCGTTTGTTGTCGAGCCACCCAACTCACCTCAGACACCAAACGAACCATGCAACAAATTGGTCCATGACCAAACGCATCCTCTTCCATCACCAGCAAATTAGTCCATCATCAACAACAAACTAGTCCATCATCAACAACAAACTAGTCCATCATCACCAAACGCATTGCTCACCAACCCATCAAACACTCACCATGAAACCCTGTCCCAGTGTCCTACGTGCCTTGGCAAAGCTCGACACCGCCGACGCGCCGCCGTCGCTCCGTGTCGTCTTCCCAGGCAACACCGCCGTCTCCCGCTCTGGCATCCAGCTGCCCAAGCTCGCTGCCAAGGACACGCCAGCCTTATCCGTATCGACCTCGCTCGCGCAGCCCCGCGAGGGGGGTCACAAGTACATTGCCGTTTGCATCGACCTCGACGCCCCCTTTCCGTCCTTTTCTATCCTCGGCCCCATCATCCACTGGATCCAGACAGACCTCGTGGCAGCCGCCGCCGCCGACGATGACGGCTTCACAAGACTCGAAACGAGCGCACGGCCTGCTGTGCCATATGCGCCCCCGGGCCCGCCGCCGCCCTCGGGACCGCATCGCTACGTTTTCATGCTCTGGGAACAGCCTGCATCGCTGACCGGTGCGGATGAGGTCTCGCGTGTCTTTTCGCTGCCGGCTGAGCCTGGCCTGACAGCGCGTATCCGCTGGGACCATGGGGCGTTTGAGGAAAAGATGGGACTCGGGGAGCCGCTGGCGGTCAATTATTTCGTGGCCGACTCGAGATAACCTACACTCGGATCATGGAAAGAATTCCTTCTGCTATTCAACTATACATACTTGGCGAGAGAAACCAACAGGCTAGTCTCCCATCAAGGACCAACGAAACAATCTTCACAATCAGCTTCGAGATAAGACTCGGAATAGATCCCATCTATACATCCGCCAACACCATGAACTGAAGCCAGAGTATAGCTGTGCACGTTCGGTTCAGTCTATGACTAGTACGCAAATATCCACAAGTCTTGAGAAAATGCGGCATCATGAATTTTGTCAAAATTCATAATGCATGACAATGATCCACTCATATCATCTTTGCTAGGCAATCACGGTGGAAATGAGCCTCTAGATACCCAGTCGACCAAGTCACCGTCATTCACAATCATCAAACACATTGGCCCAGCCTCCTTCTACACACCCCTGACTCGCAAATACCTTCCCATTGCGAAGCAAGCATCCAGGGTCATACTTTTGCTTGACCTGGACCAGCCTCTTGACGTTGCGGCCCCAGACGCGGCACCCGCCGTCCCCCGGCGCTATGTAGTTTGGATAGTTGGCCAGAACGCGCCCGCCACCGATCTTGCGCTGCTGCGCGTACGTGCCCTCGTTGAGCGCCTGCACGGCCGCCAGAGTGAGGGCGTCGTTTTCGGCGTGCTTGTACGCCGCCGTGAAGAGCGTCTGGTGGCCGACCACCGCGTGCGGCCACGCCGTGTCGGCGTCGGACGCGGGCAGGTGCCCGCTCAGGCCGGGGTGCATGTACTGCACGACAAACGAGGCCGAGTAAGGGTGCTCGCCCCGTTCGGTGAGCGCGTCGACGTAGCGCCAGAACGTCTCGGTCTGGCGCGCGAGGTAGTCGACGTCGATGGCGGACGTCTGCCCGCCGTAAAAGCCGCGGCGGTACCCGTAGGGATATGCCGCCTCGCCGATGAAGGCGAGGTCGGCGTAGTGTGCTGTTGAAACGACGGTGCCGCGTGAAGTGTCGATGCCGTCCAGCAGCCGCTCAAACGTCGCCGTGTTGTTCAGTTGGCCCGGGCTGGTCGGGTCGTCAAAATGCACCGTGATGAGCAGGGTGCGCTTCGCGTAGCTCTCCGGCGTCGCGTTGCCGAGGTCGTCGGGCAGATAGCCAAAGCTGTAGTACACGACGCTAAACGGGTCCTTGTTTGTGTCGAAAAACTCGACCGTCTGCTGGCGCAGCCGCGCGACATACTCGTCCTCGACGTAGTAAAACGCGAGGGTGCTCCTCTTGGGCTCCGCGACGGCGCGCTGCCAGAACCGGGTGACGATGCCAAACTGGCCGCTGCCGCCCTGCAGCGCCCAGAAGAGGTCGGCGTGCTCGTTGGTCTTGGTCGGCGTGACGACCTCCCCCGACGGCAGCACCACCTCCAGCCGCACTAGCCGGTCGGTGGCGAAGCCGTACGCGCCGGCCAGGAAGCCGATGCCGCCCCCGAGAGAGAAGCCCCCGACGCCGACATTGGCCACGCGCGCGCCGACGGCCGCGTAGCCGGTCCCATTGGTCACGGCATGCACCTGGCCCCAGTTGGCACCGCCTTGGTACTCGACGGCCGCAATCGGAGCGCCGGCGGTGGCGGTGTCTGTGAAGTTGAGAATCAGCTGCGAGCTGTTCATCCACGACATGTCCAGGACGAAGCCGTAGCTGCTGCTAGCGTTGACCTGGCTATGGGCACCGCCAACGACGGAAAATTCGCGGCCGAATGGGGACCAGGCGGCGGCCTGCACGGCCCGGCTCACATCGTGCGTCGTGGCCGGGTAGACGACGACGGACGCGTTCTTGCCAAACTGCTCGCCCCAGTAGCGGTCCGCGTTGTGCTGCTGGAGAGGCTGCCCGCGACAGGAAATTGCCGCGTTTTCGGACAGTTGCGATGCGAGCCACCGGAGCGCGGCGTCGGAGCGGACACAGGCGCCCTCGATCCGGGGCCGGACGGCCACGTTCGAAGATACATACGCCGCCAAGGCCGCCACTGCGGAAAGAAGGAGTATTAGGCCAGGCCATGAAGCTGCTTTGCTCAGGCTTTGGCAAATACCTCGACCATGGGACCGGGCCGCCGCTCGGGAGGCTAGGCCAGCCAACACGACAACTGTAGACAATTTCATGCTTGTCTCGTTCAAGAGGAGCAATAAACGCACATTGTGATAAGAACAGACCTCCAATACGTTTATGAAATTCACTGGTGGACTGCGTTGAATTTATTGCCTGCTATGTAATACATCTACCCTTTCCGACGTGCTGCAAGACTCCCGTGTTGGCCCGTTGGAGAGTATAGCTACTCCTTTGTGCTAACCGCACGATGCACCGCGTAGCTTGGTGAGTATTCCTGGCCTATTTTTAGACTCTTCACGCACAGACAAAACTGCTGAGATTAGCAAACAAGCTAGGTGAGCAACTATAGCACAAGCCATGTCGGACGCTCTATTGGAGTACTGATGTCCGCGGCCAAGCAGAACCCGAAGCTCGACTTGGAAAATTTGAACCACTGTACCGATTACCGGCGCGTAATAGACAAATCTTGCTGGCTCAGTTGCCAACAGCACGCGGTCAAGGTACGTGATACTGCTGCTGGTTGTCCACCATGGGTCCAATAGTTTGGCTCCTCGAAGAGACTGTTGGGTTTGTCCAAGCGAGTGCCTACACGAACTCGCCTCGGCAGTCGCCCCTATTGGATGCCAAGTCGAGTTATCTGGGGCCATGAAACACCGGAACACGGGACGTGACGGAAAGCTGCTGCGGTTGGTTGCGCCCGCAGTCACTCATGTGCCACCTTGATAGTGAATGGATGTGGTTTATTGAATGTGCCATGCGCAGAATCGATTTGCCGGACTGGATGGATAAGCTTCACTGTTTAGGCCCTGCAGCTTATTTGCTATCTATGTTCATTCAAACAGGGCCATAACAACCCTGCAACACCAAAGTAACCCGGCTGATGAAATGGTAGACACACGATACGGTCTCTTGGAAAACCAAGTTGTTGGATCCGAAAAATCTCTGACAACGGTCACAAGGAGGAGAGTATTAATTCAAGTAGAAGTAATCGTATTCACTGTTCCATCTCCAAGCGGCGTGTACATACCGATGAAAAGCCACCCTCGACGCCTCCTTGGTCCCGGCCCCTTCAGACCGGATGATCCGACCAGCCGCCTCCCTCAGCCTCTGGATAATACGCCTTCATCTGGCCGAGCAGCGAAAGCAGCGCCTTGTTGTCGCTCCGCACCGCGTCGTCGTGATACGCGGCGCAAAAGCCGTCGACCAGCCACGGATTGCCCTGCCCATCCACCACGAGACAATCAATCAGCGTCGTCGCCGCCGTGTCGCCAGACTCACCTCCCCAGACAAAGCCGCGCCGGTGCAGGCTCCCCACCATGCCGGCGACGCGCGCCGCCAGTATGCGCAGCGTCGCCGCGTCCGGCTCCCCCGGGCGAGCCGCCGCCAGTACCGCGCGCAGCGGCGTCCCGCCATCGACGTGCTCGTACAGGCCGCCCATGATGCGACTGGGCCGCACCCG